GGACACCAGGCAACCTTTTGAGATTATCATCGGCATTAAAGTCTGGGTCGGCTTCGCATGCTGTGTTTGTCGCAAAGGCATAGCCAACGCGACGGTCTACTCTATGGGAGTAGGTCTGCAAGGGGAGAGCTTTCAAAGCCTTCTTGGGATCTAGCTTCTGTAAGCCGAATAAGTCACTATCCGCGTATTTCAATAAGACTCAGCTTTCCATAAGACTCAGGATGTGCTAAACCGGCTGCATATCACCCACGACACTACTCTGGGTGACCCCTTGTCTGTTGAGCTCCACACCGATGTTTTTTACCCAACTAAAGGCTGGGCTCGTGGAAGTGATCTAATTGGGATAATCGCCCGTGTTTGGAGGGTTGCGGTTGTCATTTACCGCGTACCGCATCTTGACAATGAAATACGATTCCGAAAGTGCCATAAAGTTCTTTGCCGAGCTAATGTATATTCTAGTCGAGAGACTTGGATAAAGAGTGACACTAGATCGCCCCTTAAGCAGGGAGACCTTATTTTCGGTCTTCTCCTCGATGGCATCCTGGATTACCTTCAAAGGTGACAGCTGACCACGGAAGGGCTCGGGGATTTAAAATGTGTCAAGATTTGTCGCCATGGTAAGACCTTGAAGATGAAAAAAGATAGCCCCTCCCTCATCCTCGGCTTAGCCGAGATTGCGGCAGGTAAATCGTGGGATCCCGCAGGTGGCTCCTTCGGAAAAGTAAAAACCCTTCCTTATGCACTAGACCTGAGCGCAAGTCAGCGAGCAGTTCTCCTTTACCCGGATCTGATCTACCCCGCTGTGGAGTATGAGGACAAATCTGACAGCCGGGTCTTCAAGACCTTTCTCGTGCAGACACTCGACGGCATTAACAATTATGTGTTTGCTAAGCCCGACTTGCGGCGTCTACTCCCCTACCAACAAGTTAATGAGGTGTCCTTTTAGTTGAAATTCAACACTGGAGAGTACATTTCCAAAGGGTATCCGATCTTTCTGGATCTATGAACCGTTGATATTAATTAATTTTAATCAGAATGATATGAACAATGTATCAAGCTAATTATGGGTCTTCCGGAGGAGCTCTGGGTTGCCTGCCATGGTGTTGCTGCAGCAGCTCGGTACGATCTCAGGGGTCAAGGTCTGCGAGGTTTCTCACTTCTGGAGTTCGGCGATATTGCCGATGTCTCCCTGGAGGGATGGAGAAGAATGACGGGAAGCGTTCGTTGACATAGGGAAAAAGAACCTACCGTGCGCGGTGCGGGCAAAGGGCGGCATTGCTCATTGCGGTTGCTGCCCACTTACTGTCGAGGCGTTCCAACACCTCGAGAATGTTTACAGGCGCATCATCAAGTACTGATTAACGCTGGCAAGCAGCACCCTTGCGCCTTTTTTAGACTCCCGCTGTGCTTCTTGTAATTATGCTAGCATAATTAGTTCTGATGTGATAATTATAGTATAAGGAATGGAAGATGGATTACCCGCTCTCGAGCGTTGACATCAAACGCCTTCTAAAGGCCGAGTGAGCCCGAGGACGGTTCGTTGGGGATGACATCTACCCTCTCCATGATCTGGTCGAAGGGGGGCATCTCTGGCTAACTGTTTGTTGTACTGCAACGCATGTGCTTGTTTTCGATAGCTTTGGACGTACGCTCGCTAAAATATAGGAAGCATATACAGAGCCTCAGCTGCGCAAGTATTCTATGGAGGCCTTTCCCGAGCGGGTCATGGTTACGAATACGTACTGTTTTTATTCATGTAAACAGCTGCGAGGTTTCCCGCATCGCCAAAGATGAGATGCCGATGGAATGTCGGCTTGGGGATAAGTTTGCGGAGTCTCTCGGTCTCGCTTGGCCGGAGCAGCTTCACATCGACACGCTTTCGGAGGTTCTCCATCGTTTTGCCGAAGACGCTGCTGTTCAGCAGCTTGTAGAGGTTGACTTCAAAGTCACTCTTTGCCTTCTTCCGGAACTCAGTATTTTTCCGGATGTAGGTCTCCATCCATGGGCTTTAATCGAAGCGGAGTGTCCTGTGGATCTTTTTTAGGTGCATGCCAAGCTGCAGATAGAGCTGCAGATTCCGATAGTGCAGGACGTATCGGGTCTTGTCGCGCAGATTGGTGATTAGCTTTTCGACATTGTGAGACGCCCCCCCGTACATCTGTTTGAGGAGATTTTGCTGGTAATCCGACATCCACAAGTTGTTGACTTTCAGGCGTTCTGGCGCCAACGGATATGCATTGTGCTTGTCATGCAGCTCTTCTGGGTACTCAAGATTGACTTCGAGAATGTAGCCCTTCTCTGCACTTACAGGCTGGTTCAGGGCCGCTTTCGCATCCTTTTCGGCGACCCACTCGCACGCGCCTGTCGGCAGCGGCTGCGACATCGCCCAGCCGTTGGCATCGTATTACAGGATCCAGCTTTGAATCTTCCCTGGGGTTGTTGGCCTTGGCGAAGCACCTGCTAGCCATGCTGTTGATGCCGCCGAGCAGGCCCTTCTCCATGAAGAGATGCATGTCGATGTCGGTGAGTAGCTCGAGCTCTACCCCTGTGTGCCTAAGGAGAGCGTTCCAGCTTAGGCCCGGGCTCGTGTAATAGTGGGCCGGGTCTAGCCGGTATCGGTCGAGGCACAGCTTTTGGAAGTTCTCGAAGACGTCAGCGAGGAGGAGGACGTCGGTCCGGAGGTAGAGGTCGTGGTAGTCGCCGGGGCCTGTGCATCCGAAGGCGTCCCAAACACTTTTTCTGTCTGCATAATCGCCTTCGGTGATGCTTTTGCCGGAGAGGTTGCTGTAGAAAGCCTCCTTCGGCGGGAGGGCCTCCTCGTCGAATCGGGGCCAGCCGTCCATGTACTCGGAGGGTTAGATACCCTTGCGGAACAGGAGGAAACGCCTCTGGAGGTTCGGCTTGTAGTCCGCTGTGATGCGCATGTTACGCGGTCACTGGCTTTCACCAGGCCATCCAGGCTTGAGAGCATGAACTAAGCACTGTCGATGAATCGGAGCTGGCCGATGCTGAACGAGATGTACTTATCGGCGTTGTTGGGGATGCAGGTGACCTTCCCTTCAGTCTCTGCGATAGTCTGCATGATTAGATGGCTGTCGTAGCCCTGCAAGTTGTTAAAGAGAACTGGTATGGTTGTTGCCTTCGGGCTTAGCCGCAACTTCAGGTTGCACTCATTGTGGGCTGCACCTCGGTACTTGCCAGTAATGTAGCAGTGGTCTCGAATGGAATCGCATTCGAGGGGCTTGCCGCAGACGTGGCAGTTTGTGGCTTTGTAGCTTCCCCAGTCCTTTCCTGCCATGTGCATAGGCTCTAGGTTAGCCAACACCGTATTGATCTTACGCTCTTCTTCTTGGAGCGCTTCCAGGAAATGCTTGGCCGCGTCGGGCCCTCGGTAGAGCTGCGGTGGCTGCGTCTCCCCGTCGGAACGGACGACTATGTGCGAGTAGCTGCATGCCTCGTGGCTGGATGTTTGCTGGGTGTCGCTCTTTTCAGGGTTAAGCGCGGGGCCCTCGATTTTGCAGAACAGACTCTCGAAGTCGGCGTAGATTATGAAGGGCGCTTTGAGCTGGTTGTGATAGTTCTCAAAGCGGATTTTGTTGTTTTTTCCGGGGGTTGGCATTCTGATGGCAACCGCGGCCTGGGTGCTGCCTCGACATTCAGGCTTGTGTTCTTAAAGGAAATCCTGCCTGGTGAAGCCGTGAAGGCAACGCTCACAGAAGTGCAAAGTCAGGGCCGTCTTCAGTGGGATTCTTGCTCGGTTGTTGCGGATTTCTTGCTGCAGAAAACAGCGCTGCCCTTAGAGACCAGTGGAGGCAGTTGTCGTCTTTATTTTTCACGTTGAAGATCGCCTTCTTATTCTTGACCGCGGTGGGGAGAGGAAGGTATGAGCCTCCACGTAAAGTCTGGTAGTGAGCGATGTCAAGCCAAAGTGTTTTAACACGATGTACTATCGACCCAGACACTTTCCTAGTTAACTTTTCCAATCTCTCCAGGATTGTTGGGAAGGCTTCATGTAGGGCTTGCAGAATCTCATGCGCCTGTAGCAGCGTGATCTGCTTTGTCGGGAACACAGGTGCTTGAAGCACTTCAGAACCATTTGCATCATTGTTCCGAAGCTCAACCTCTACAGCCAACTAGAACTTAACTCCTCGTAGAGCTAGTAGCTCTTCGACGAGTTTGCTTTTGATATAGGGCTGCACGTTTTTGAGGAAAGCCATCAAATCGCGTTCAGAGTGGTGCCCCTTCGGCACCTATATTTTCCAGGCTCTCAAATGATAGCTGAAGGCCTTCATTTCATCCCACTTAAGTTACGTAGGTGGTAGGGGAGCCCTTGTGGTGCGTCATGGCTTAAATTCACTCAGAAGCTCATTATCAGTAAGCTCGGCTGGCCCGCACTTGCGCGGTTTGGGGTTAGGCCAGCGCTTGCGTGGTTTGGGGATAGGCGGAGTGACATTTCTTGGCGTGGGTGTAGGGTAAGCGGGTGGTTAAAGAGTCTTAAGAGAGGCGTTCAGAGCGTGTCCGCTGATTACACCTTGGTCTTATAGTTGCAGAAGTTTCTCGACAGTACTCATCTCAAGTGTCGCAAACTTTAGTGGTATACCCTACGTGATATAAAGGCGGATCTCCACTAGACGATTTTTATGACGATCGTCTTGCGCAATAGGAAATAAAATCGTCAACAAAGTCGTCAACAAAATCGTCAAAGACGATTGCAAATTGCAATGTGAAATTGAGAAAATGGCGGATGTGAATCAAACTTTAATGCATTATTTACTTCTTCGAAGGCATTTGATTTTACTGCATGCATGTAGAGTAAGATCCATGAAAACAAGCGAAAACGACCAAGATTTTGGATGCGTAAACTGTACGAGGAAAGAAATGAGAAAGGAGAGTACAATTTTCTGGTTAAAGACTTGCGATTATACCATCATGAAATGTTTTTCAGATATTTCAGGATGTTACCTGACACTTTTGAGACCTTGTTGGGGTATATTGCCCCGATGATAAGAAAGAAAGTGACGATAATGCGAGAACCAATAAGTGTAGATCAAAGACGTTTAGTCACTCTGCGATATATGGCAACTAGGAATGATCATACAACTATCGCTGCCAATTATAGAATGAGCTCAACGACTGTTGGTCGAATTATCTACGAAACATGCAACGCACTTTGGGACAAACTAAAGGAAATGGGTTTCATGAAAACACCTTGCACTGAAAGTGACTGGAAAAAAGTATCTAAAGATTTTGAAGATCGATGGAACTTTCCTAATATGCTGGGAGCAATTGATGGAAAGCATGTGCAGATGTTTGCTCCTGCTGGACAGGCATCGAGTTTTTTTAATTACAAAAAGACTCATAGCATTGTTTTGTTGGGAGTTAGTGATGCAAATTATAAATTCACACTGGTTGATATTGGTGATAGTGGGCGGCAAAGTGATGGCAGCGTGTATGCCAACAGCAATCTTGGCTATGCTATTGAAAACAAGCTTCTCAACATGCCCACAGATGTCAAGATTACCCATTCAACGAAAGTACTACCCCAGGTATTTGTAGGGGATGATGCATTTGGCCTAAAACGCCACATGATGAAGCCCTATCCTTTTTCAAACCTGTCCGAGAGGAAACTAATTTTCAATTACAGGCTAAGCAGAGCCAGACGTGTCATTGAAAATGCTTTTGGTATATGTGCTAGTCGGTTTCGTGTGTTTCATAGGCCTATAGTTGCCAAAGTTGATAATGTGATTGCCATAACTAAAGCTGTTGTGGCATTGCATAACTTCCTTATGAGTATAAATGAAGATGACGATTCAAATCTATACTGCCCACCATCATTTGCTGATCAAGATGGGAAAATTGGTAATGAGTTTAACCCTGGTGAGTGGCGACAAAATGCAAATTGTATGAATGGATTGGGTGACATTACAGATGTTGGTGCATCAAACAACTATGGTGCAGAAGCTAAGTGGGTTCGTGAACAATTTGCTGATTATTTTCATAATGAAGGAGCAGTTGACTGGCAGTGGCAAATAGTAAGGTATTCAAAATAAAATACAAATTTAAAGCTATTTATATTCAATATGAGCATTAGTGATGTGATGGGTTTTCATACGAAAGGGGTTTTTCACTTATGTAGTTAGCAATACATGTTTAAGCTATAATTCTAAAAATAAATGATTTCACTTGCTGTATATCTGTATTCATTGGAAGGAATGTATCTTGTATAAGTGAGAGTATGTTATTAATTTTTAATGCGATCTGTGAAGTTCTACAACAATTTTCTTTAGGTATGTGAATATTGTAAATCATACAAAAGCTGTTGAATTTTTAATTTAGCTTGTCTGAGTTGCTTTTTTTCCATATCTCTTAAAACTGGAACAAGACTCATACAAAATAACACTGCTTCATCCTTATCTTCATTTTCTCTTCTACCTGACAATCTTCTAAATAATTTATCATTTTCTGGTCCATACTCTTCACATGGTCAAGAAACGGGTCTAGTTGATCGTTAGAATTAGGACGTTTTCTTTTACCATATTTTGCCTCATCTGATACGCTTGAACAGCTTGAAGAAGGCTGACTAGGTCCTGGAGATTGTGATGAGGATATGTCCAATATGTTCTCTAGTATTGTTTGGATTTCAAGATCCACATTGCTGTGAATTCCCAATTGCTTGTTTTCTCATGAAGAAATCTCATAACCTCAAAATATTTGCATGTTGGAAGTGTCCAAGCAGCTTCCCCAGATTTAGACAATGGTCGTCTCCTATCAAGGCATTTTTTTAGAGAATCTTTAAAGTTCTTAAAAAATTTCTGAAGGTATGGAGCTGAAAAAAGGGCAAGAAACAAATTTTGTTAGAGTTGACATAAAATACGAAATAACACATGTAGTCAAGGAGCACAGTCAAACGAAATGGTGAGACGAACACCCTTACGCAGAAACGTCGAGAAGTTTTCCTGTCCACTTTAGCATGTTTAACATGTTACATCACAATAACCAAACAACACATAAGTGAAATTCTCAAGTTTCTTGAAGTCTTCCATTAATTTAGAACACTTACCTTCTCGCTGGAACATTCGAGACAAAGATTTCCATGCATTAAGTTTCAAGGTCCTATTTTTGTAGTTTATATTGCTTGTATCCCACAAGCAACTATAGTCTCGGAGAGCTTCCAAAAACATTTCCTTATCGAGCTCTCCAACATCTTGTACAACATTTTGATCAACAAAATGTTGCACCACTGAGATATTCCTCGGAGAGGCAAGTATTTGAATCTCTGACGGTATATTTTCTACAGGATTTGTACCGTTCAGTTGGAATTCGTTTTCTCCACTGGTGGCAGCCATTTTGACTTTAGAGAAAGAGTAATTAGTTTCACGGGATGAAATTTCATTGGTTCAATTTACGACGATCGTCAAGCGCTCGACGAAAAGTAGAAACCATTTCTACTTTTCGTCGAGCGCTTGACGATTTAGTTGACGATTTTTATTTCCTACTGCGCATGTGGCGAATTTTTGAGACGATCGTCATAAAAATCATCTAGTGGACATCCGCCTTAAATCTCTAAATCGAAATTAATTCAAATTGTCGAAATTAATTTGGCGAGTACACTAGCAAATCATTTTCTCGCTTGTTTCTCCGCATCAACGACCTTATGATGCACCCTATTTGCACCGCAGGCTTGAAAAAGGATAGTTTTTGTCTGTGTTACGACCCCACACTTACGACATGGTTGTGGAAGTCGTCCGCCTTCCCTTAACCGCCTAATATGAAGTCCACAATATTCATCTATGGAGCTTTGCCCACATGTGGTGAGGTTTCCGGGCAAAAACCACGCGCACTTGTTTTTTCCCTGATAATGTGTCAAGACATATATTCTATGTGAGAATTTCTCTCTAAATAATGGACCTCGACGGCATGTGTGCTAACTATGTGAACCACATACGCGAACTAGGGCTGAGGCGCTTAGATTTGCGTATATTTCTTCTCAAACTGAGAAGTGTGCTAGAACTGGTAGTCTCTATACTACTTCACAAGTGTTTCTTATGAGATTGTAGTGATCCCACATACTGTTGTTCTCATCATTGCTCACTAGTTTTATATTTGCTTCGTTTTTCCTAATTAAAATCATATGAATATAGGATAGGCAAAGTTGGCTATTTTTCTTAAGATGATCGACAAAATGATGACATTAGATTTATCGATTCCAGTTACAAAATTGGCCATGCAAACAGCCAAGTAATGCAGTTTCAATTTTTTTCCTGTTTCTGTAAGGAAAACTATTTTATCTATAAGTTTTAGATATTCTTTTTGTATTTCAATCATTTACCTAATTATTATAGCTTGAAAATTACTGGCTTGTATACATAATGATACAATAGCAGCAATATCATGTTTTCGTTTGCCGTACTTATTCGTGCGAGAACATAACGATGAAAACAATGGCAGAAATCATAGTTAGTATTTGTCTATTTTTGAGTGTATGACGTCTCTGCCAAATAACAGCTTCATGAAACTGCTTTTAGATGATACTACAGACAATATCCTTGCATATTAAAGTGCAAGTGCAAATATAACTGTGAATGATTTACGTTGGTATAGAATAATGTGTTTATCTAGTTTAATAGTTCTGATTGAAAAGTCAAAATTGTATGTACGCATTGATAATTTATTGTATAGGTGTGTTAATATACAGGTTTAATAAGAATTGAACAAAGCTAATTTGAAATATTAATCAACATGTGCGAAAACATATTGGACCTTTTATGAAGCGTTTGAATCAAAGCTGTGCGAAGGAGATGCACATGCATGGTCACAAGTATTTTTCGTATGTGCTTGTAGTGATCCAACATATCTGTTGCTCTCATCATTGCTAATCTGGTTTATATTTGCTTCGTTTTTCCTAGTTAAAGTCACTTGAATATAAGATAGGCAAAGTTGGTTATTTTTCTTAAGAAGATCAAGAAATGATGACATTAGATTTATCGATTCCAGTTACAAAATTGGCCATCCAAACAGCCAAGTAATGCAGTTTCAATTTTCTTCCTGTTTCTGTAAGGAAAACTTCTTTAGCTATAAGTTTTAGATATTCTTTTTGTATTTCAATCATTTACCTATTTATTATAGCTTACAATTTATTGGCTGTATACATAATGATACAATAGCAGCAATATTATGTTTTTGTTTGCCGTACATCTTCGTGCGAGAACATAACGATGAAAACAATGCCAGAAATCATAGTTAGTTTTTGTCTATTTTTGAGTGTATGACGTCTCTGCTAAATAACAGCTCCATGAAACTGCTTTTAGATTATACTACAGACAATATCCTTGCATATTAAAGTGCAAGTGTAGAAATAACTGTGAATGATTTACGTTGGTATAGATTAATGTGTTTATCTAGTTTAATAGTTCTGATTGAAAAGTCAAAATTGTATGTACGCATTGATAATTTATTGTATAGGTGTGTTAATATACAGGTTTAATAAGAATTGAACAAAGCTAATTTGAAATATGAATCAACATGTGCGAAAACATATTGGACCTCTTATGAAGCGTTTGAATCAAAGCTGTGCGAAGGAGATGCACATGCATGGTCACAAGTATTTTTCGTATGTGATTGTAGTGACCCACATATCTGTTGCTTTCATCATTGCTAATATGTTTTATATTTGCTTCGTTTTCCTAGTTAAAGTCACTTGAATATAAGATAGGCAAAGTTGGTTATTTTTCTTAAGAAGATCAAGAAATAATGATATTACATTTATCGATTCCAGTTACAAATTTGGCCATCCTAACAGCCAAATAATGCAGTTTCAATTTTTTCCTTTTTTCTGTAAGGAAAACTTCTTTAGCTATAAGTTTTAGATATTCTTTTTGTAATTTAATCATTTACGTAATTATTATAGCTAACAAATTATTGGCTTGTATACATGATACAAAGCAGCAATATCATGTTTTTGTTTGCCGTACATCTTCGTGCGAGAACATAACGATGAAAACAATGCCAGAAATCATAGTTAGTATTTGTCTATTTTGAAAGTATGACGTCTCTGCCAAATAACAGCTTCATGAAAATGCTTTTAGATTATGCTATAGACAATATCCTTGCATATTAAAGTGCAAATGTAGATATAACTGTGTATGATTTACGTTGGTATAGAATAGTGTGTTTATTTAGTTTAATAGTTCTGATTGAAAAGTCAAAACTGTATGTACGCATTGATAATTTATTGTATAGGTGTGTTAATATACAGGTTTAATAAGAATTGAACAAAGCTAATTTGAAATATGAATCAACATGTGCAAAAACATATTGGACCTCTTATGAAGCGTTTGAATCAAAGCTGTGCGAAGGAGATGCACATGCATGCTCACAAGTATTTTTCGTATGTGATTGTAGTGATCTCACATATCTGTTGCTCTCATCATTGCTAATCTGGTTTATATTTGCTTCGTTTTTCCTAGTTAAAGTCACTTGAATATAAGATAGGCAAAGTTGGTTATTTTTCTTAAGATGATCAAGAAATGATGACTTTACATATATCGATCCCAGTTAAAAAATTGGCCATCCAAACAGCCATGTAATGCAGTTTCAATTTTTTTCCTGTTTCTGTAAGGAATACTTGTTTAGCGATAAGTTTTAGATATTCTTTAAGTATTTCAATCCTTTACCTATTAATTATAACTGGCAAATTATTAGCTTGTATTCATAATGATACAATAGCAGCATTATCATGTTTTTGTTTGCCGTACACGCTCATGCGAGAACAAAACAATGAGCACAATTGAAGAAATCATGGTTAGTATTTGTGTATTATGCATTATATTTACAAAGAAAAGTAAGTTCCATATTGTGATTGCTGTGCTTAGTTACTTTAACAAATGACAGCTGCCTTTGAGATATCATTTTAATCATGAAAATACATCGACCACTTCTCTCTCTAGGAAAGCTATGAAATATTTATAATGTTGGTATACGTACAAAAACACTTGAAACAAAGCATTATAATATAAAGAACTAAATGACAATTGCCCAGTCGTACAACCCAATTGCTTGCTGGACACAGAGTAATATGGCCAAGTTTGGAAATTACTTATACGCAACTCTTTTAGTATTTGCTGCTGCTTCTATCACTTATGCTTATGTTGAATTCCGTTTTTCTTCAATCTATGGTGATCATATGGTGTTGCAGCAAGCACCAAAACAGGCAATCGTGTGGGGTTATGGTGAAATTGGTCAGAGAGTGGTGCTGAGGCTTAGTAACAAATCGTATCATGCACACGTCTCTTCGAGACAGGAAGGTTTTATTATCATTTCTTTGTATAAAGCTGAAAGCTCTGTAGCAAATCTACGGATTAGTTGAAATTACATAAAACCATAATTTTAAAATTAAAATACACCAAAAATAAAGTCAATGATTATAAATTTAAAACTAACAGGTTTTATCTATCAATAGGCCATTGTGATTGATTTTGACTGACGAAAAATCCGCTAGTAAGCGTGCCATCCTATTTTAAATGTGTTTAGAACAAGAACATTTAAGCCATTTGCATTTTAAAATTCATTGTTTTTATAACAGTTGTTGTTAATTGTAGCAAACCAACACGAACCTTTGTTTTATACAACTCATATTAATCATAGATATACTCCTTAAACAAAATGGGCACTTAGAACACGCAAACGAACAGGACGAGAGCTCAGTCATTCAGTGTTTTGCTCCCATTTGACAATACATGTGTTTGTCTATTTACGCATTTAGAATTCTGAAAAGTTAGCAAAGTTTACAGAAAACAACCGTACGTGTTACAAAGCTGGAACTGAGGAAGGAACTTGAATTCAATATTATAGATCCGACAACACTAGCTTTGTAATATTTTGCATAATAGAAACTAAGTATGTAGTCCAAGCTTACGAATTAGATATTTAGATCTCAAACGAGACGAATGAACTTCCGATTGACAAAAGTGCAGCAATCTACTAATTGGCGCTGCTCGTTTAGTAGGAACTTTCATCTTTACCAAATCATAAATAGTGATTTTACTCCACTACTTTTAACAAATAATTCATTGTGAACATATTTACATTGAGGTTAGTAATGGCAGAAGGCAAAACTTTAACACTTGAGGATATTGTTTACTCGGGCAACAAATTATTCAACTTGTCCGCATGACTGACGCAGTTAGCATCGGTGAGTAACGCCGATGACGCCAGCGTTAATGTGTCTAACTGTTGCAGGTGTCTAACTGAAGCCGGTGAAAAGTCACGGCTTAAAAATTCCTTCATGCAGAAAACATAAAAAAGTTGAAAAAACTTCATAACAAAATCTTGGGAAGCTTTATTTCTATGAACGCACATTTGAATGTTCTATTCAAGTCAAGATAGTTTGCAGTCAACATTAAAATATGTCACAGTGCTTTGAATATTTATAGTTGTATTTGTTGTTGACATCCAAATATACATGTGTTGGACGTAAACTTGACTTTCATAAATTGAAAAACATTGCTTATTGCGAATATTCCAACGCATTACATAATATAGTTATATACCAGGGAACAACAACTTTTAAACTGTTGGAAAGTGTATGTTATACTCATAATTGACCTGCTTGTAAATCATATAACATAGGCTGCAAAGTTGGAGCAGCACCCATAGTTTTCCAAAGAGCCCAGTATGTAATAAAAACAAAATCAATAGCATGCTGCTCTGCTATACTAATTACATGTTATCCAATGATCATCATTTGGATCATCCTTAAAACGTTTGTTTTGCCATTAATTTGTGTAAGTATTGCGACAAGAAAGACAGGGTTTCGTTATGATAAAAATGAACATCGCAGTTGATAAAGAGTTAAATAATGTTAATCATACCTCAATGTTTCAAAGTTTTAAAATATTAGTTCAAATGCCTTAAATATATTAATTTACTATAATCTAACAAAACTTAAGTAAGTCAACATTATTCTTTTAAATTGAAAGAGAGTTCTTATTTCGCCAAACAAATTCAGTAATTCACTATTTTTAAAATCTTACATACTTACTCCTGAAACTATAAATTTTCAAAAAATGCTATACAAAAATTACTTTAAATTGGTACATTGTGCATGCATTAACTGGTAAAATTATGCTCTATCATTGTTACTATGGTAATTTCTGTATAGGAAGGGAAGAAGTCGGAGTATGGCAAGTTGCATTACAACCAATGAGAGCTGGAGGTCCATATCGTATTTCTGCTTATTCATATGTAGAAGGAAGTCTAAAAATTATAACTTTGGATGATGTTTTATTTGGAGATGTTTGGATTTGCAGTGGTCAGAGCAACATGCAGTATACACTGGACATTGTGAGTTTTAGTTTGTTTTAACGCTTAATTTACGCCATCTGACATGGAACTAGAAGTAGTAGCTTATAAAATACAGCTTAAGTTTTACTGCAGTAAATCAAATTACAAGCGATGTGCAAGATCGTAGTGCTATTTGTGGGGAAAAAAACTTTGTGATGCGTTTGACTATTTAAGCACATTGTACAGAGTAAAAAAAGGCAACAATGACAATGTTAGATTGATTAATTTCAAATATATTTTTATTAGAATGCCAAGAAAATGATAAAAGGATAGTGTCACGATTCAGACAAAACATCGCGTTAGTATTTGGAGTTAGGAAAGGGATTGCTAATCTGGTTGAGTGTTTGAGTTTACACGGGTTAATGATAAAAAAATTTATAATTAATAGTTGTGAAGCAGATGTATTTCAGACGGGAGCTGCTAACAATATATTTTGCAGACCTTAATTGGAAAGTAAACCCAGAGCGTTATGTCAGTCAGAACCGATTAAAATAAAGGTTGTCAAAAAATGCATTATTACAAGCTACTGCTTGAACGGAAACACGATTAAATTTAAATAGAAATTTGTCAATCTTTTTTTTTCCGTAAATTACCCATTTCCTATTTTTTTCTTTCCAACTATGAAAGGACACGTTTTATCTTTATTGAGTTTTTATCAAATTTAACGTTGAAAACATTTTTATTTTAAAACTACAACGAACATATGGCTATCGGATTATTTTTTTTATGATAAAAACTAAATCTGTGGCTTGTATCAATATCTGTGCATCTATTTATTGGAATAAGATTTTAGGCTAACTGAATTATGAGGAAGTAAAGGATGGGCCCAATATTGATGTCTTAGGCTATAAACCCAACATTAAGCATATTGAAAAGATTTATTACTATGCATAAGTTTATTAAGGGTAAATACCAGAGGATTATGAAATCTTTGTGAACTTTCTTGACAAGATGAGATGCTGTTCACAAAGGCTTAGGAATGCGATTATTGTGTCAAAAATTACTTCATGGTGATTGCTCATAATCTAGATGTCATTCTACAATTTTTTTCATTTGGTGTTTTGAGTGGATTAAGTACTTTAATTTGCAATAGTTTAAAAAAACCTTAATGGCCGTTTGTATTTCTCTACTTAAATGTTGGAATTATAAAATATCATAATAATGTAAATCATAAAACATCATAATAATGTAAAACGGCACGCGTGGAAATTGGGCATGCTAGATCACATTTATTACACATTTACCTTGGACGATATGGTTAAAATCTCAATTTAAACTGGTTCAATTCATATGAAGCCAGGAAAATACTGTGGGGAACAGTTATCCCCTTAACTCTGTCATGTGAAATAACGAAAGACGCAGTTGACTCCAGAGACATTGCTAGTGGGCATGCAAGGAGCTTCTTTATGCAATTAGAATTAATGTTATTACGTGTTAATGTTGTTAAATAGAAAAATTGCGTCATCCGATATCAGGATTATAAATTATAAAAAATACGGTCAAACGTTCAGTGATATAATATTTTATCAAAAAAACTTTCGATTATCTGTCTATAAGCTGTAGAGTTTCAAAACGATTAAAAACAATTAAATGTTTCCCGTGTAAATTCAGCGTGTTTATGGACTGTATCGCATCTTGTCAAGAAGTCTCTAAGCAAAACATAAACTTTATAAATGTACCTTGATAAATGCATGCAAGCAAAATCTTTTCAATTAACTCAGTAAGCAGATATGATCTATTTAACATCCCTACACATAGCCTTTCCTCCTTTTTCTCATCATCAACTATTTCCAAAATCTTATTTCAAAAACTACTTGCGGACAGTTTAACACACGCAACAGGTTTATTCTTAACCATTAAAACAAAAAATGAAATAAAAAATCTTTTGAAGTTTGAAGTATATCTTGTAATCACATCATCCAGTCAGACAACCTTTGTTCATTCTACACAGTTTCATCTTGTCACGCATGCGCCTAATCTATTACCTAGGTCGGTATATACCTAAAAAAATCAAGCGTGCATGCTGTTTAATAGCTTTGAAGATGTATGAAACAGTTTTAGGTTTGGTAATTATGGAACGGTTTTACACTGATTAATGGAAGACCTTGGAAAGTGATACGTTTTTTTTATTTAGTCAGATGATGGGGATAGAGCAATCAATGAATCAATAAATTATCCCAACATACGTGTATTTACTTCTGGCCTTGATTGCTCTATGACTCCTCGAAAGGAGTTAAGAAGTATAGTGTTGCCTTGGTCCATTCCTTCACCAGGTATTCATCATGCAGTTGATATGAGCAATTGAAATTTATGAAGCATCAATTGATTTGAATCGAAAAGTCAGTTTTTTAATTCACAGATTCTTCGATTTCCACTATAATTTGCAAAGAAACAATCGACTGCTAATGAGCAAAAATAAAATTACTAATAGCTTCTTCTCAAGAATGTTTTACGATCAAAATAGGATCATCTTGTGCCTTTTAAATGTTTTGAATGTTAATATTATTTATATATGAGCTGGCTTGCATCTGCCTTGCTTAAAATTGTGTCTTCATCCGAGTTGAACCTTTCGAAAGCATTTCACCCTAATAGTATTTTAATAACAATTCTTTTGTTAACCGCTACGAAGAACTCGAGACTTTCAAAGAAGTATTCCGAAAATATCTTTAGCTAATGTCCAATAAAAACTATAAATGTTTCTGTACTTAAATCATTTCGTACCCAAAAATACTTTTGTAACCCTAAAGCAGAGATTAGTACTCGTGATTTGTAAACATCATTGTATCATTTGCTTTGTAAAGTATTATGACCCTATCTTATGATAATAATATAATATTTATGTTGCCAGAAACGTTAAATGGGACCGCTGATGGGATATTGTGGAGTTATTTCTCTGCCGTATGTTGGTATTATGGAGTGCACCTGTACAAAACGTTGAACTACCCAATTGGCCTGATTGCCAGCAGCTTTAGTGGAAGCCCTGTAGAATCATGGTCTTCACCAGATGCCCTTTTAGAATGTGGATGGAATGGGCATGTCTTAATTTCTCCACCAATATTGTAAGTCTTATGATGTTTTTTATATGTTATTATCTATTGTAGATTCTAGCTTTGCCAGAAGATAGTTGGTTTTAACTTCTTTTAGATCTTTTACAAAGTCTTATACAGCTGAACTTTATTCTTCATCTATATACACTTCTGAACAATACCACCACAACAAATAAACAACTGTTTTAGGAAAAAAAAACAAGGAGTTTTGGGCTCTTCGGAGGATTTTAATCATGATAACACATTATTTTATTTTATTCAATGAGGATCACTTTAAACTGGAAATGATTTTCTTTTTACATTAATATTTTCATTATTTTGACACATTCTTCAATTGTGATTGGTTGATTGAGAAGCATTTGTACTGTAATAATGTGCAAGTGTAGTGTTGCTGTGACTTCTTTAACCTGATTGGCGGAAAAAGTAAAAGCCAAACAGGCTTCTTCTAATGAAAAAAAAGCATGGCAGTGGTAGTAAGGAAACAGGTGCTTCCACAATGGCACTAGTGTGAAACTCATAATGTATAAAACGGTGCAAACAACAAAAATAGCGAACTTTGTGGGTTTTTTTCGTTTTTTTCTTTTGCACAAGTATTTGAAAAATTCACTAGCGCATGTTTCTACATAATCACTCTTAAAGCTGTTCTTTTACATATATCAATGAAGTTTTCGTCATTGAAACTTTGCGCAATGGTGAATAGGGTGCAAATTTCATGTCAGTAATTATCTGTTATAATAAGATAATACAGGGTGTTTTGGAAATGTTTTGGCCACCATTATGTTTCTAATACCTCTCAAAATTTTTTTAAACCTTTCTTTACACTAAATAAATAAATACTTTGCAGATTTGATGATAATGTTTGCTAGAATCGCAAGAGCAAGCAAAAAGTTTTTTTGTCAAAACCATTTGTGAGTTCCCCCAACAAGTTTTTCCATTCTATTTCAAATATTGTTAAGTCCATTAAATTTCAAAAAATTAAATTTCTGCAATTTAAATTAAAAGCAATTTTAATTGCATCGTTTTCGCATTCTAAATATTGAAGCCTCATTAAAAAAGTGAAGAGCGCAAAAAACCCAAAAAACCCACTTTCTCCGTGAATGCTTAGGTTTTTTTATAAAAATCTCGCCATTCCGCAACCTAAGAAATTTTCTTTCAACAAGGGAACTTGGACACAAAAAATTCCGACTAGTTTTAGACTTCTTGAGATCTGAAATTTGTATTCCAAGCCATTTGAATGAATGTGACATGTCCACCAATATGTTGCATTTATTCAAATCATTGAGTTCTATAAGACATGGAGGGGAAATGTCAACCAAATTACTATAAATTATTCGCGCGCGGCCGCATGGTCAAAAACATGGCGGATTTTGGTTGTCAAATTCAGTGGAAAGACGCGGGCTCATAAAATAAAATTTTTTTCGCCCACCCGGATTTGACAACCACAATTGCGATTATATAAAACATCAATGCCAAGCACAAAACTTTTTAGAAATTTTATCTTTAAAACATGCTGCAAACTTGTTTGGTATACGGTTGCTGAAGTAATGCCAGAAAAGGAAACATTTCATGACACCGGTAAGCAACGTACGATTGTTTACTATTTAAAATGTTCAGTGTTTTGTTTTAAGTCAATACTTGAAGTGTGATGGTATATATTTTGTGAATGCTTTTACTCCTAAGTTATAAAATAAGTTATGTCTATCCAGTCTTAATTGTTCTTTACTTAATCGCTTGCTAGACGAGGCAAAGCAACCAATTCTTATTGAGATATGCATATTTTAAAGCTCCTTGTTTCAACCGAGTTTACCTTCAAGAAATGGAGGATTTCTTATGATATTTTTTTGAAAATATGAAGTAAATATTAAGAACAGAGCTGTATTGAAATCAAATGCAGTGCAGGATTAATTAATGAACTCTTTGGTACATGTCTACAATAAAAAATACCTGTCTTAAACAGCTAGCCTGGACAATTTGACAGATTATGGACAATCATGATGATGGTGTGTAAAAAAACAAGGTTTGCTTTATGCTAAAAGTTTTATAAATGCCATCTGGTGTTTCTGTAAACGAATTGTTTGTTATAGTAAACAGGTTAGTACATCAAAATCAAGATAAAAACTACTTTGTTCATTAATGTGCCAAATTATGCTCCTACCTTTGCTCAAGAAATATTTGCTCAAGAAAAGCTTATGATGACATGCATGAAACATTAAATATAGTACTGCATCATCTGACAAAATCCATACGTTTTTCAATTCCAGGTGATTAAAAATTCACATAAGATGCATTGGTTGCAATGAAGTTGGATGTGGAAGAAGCAAAAATTGATGACAAAGAACTTTTTATGTCTTTTGAAGAAATACGATGTTATTTAAAAGAATAAGAATAGCAATCTAGTAATAGAAATGACATCTGTCTTCAACATGAGACTTTTCCAATTATGTGTAGTTTCTTTGTACAAAATATACTATTTTAGATAAATTTGATTTTTAAGTCATTCACTGATATTTTTACCAAAAGACAAAAAAAAAATTCAAAGGTATAATGTAAAATTCAAAAGTTTGTCAAATTGTTTGAACCTAAAATAATTAGTATAGGTAAATGTAATTTTTAAGGACACAAGAGAAAAGTAATGCAAGAAGGTTAGCATTTTTGAGAATTAAAATGTTCTTCTTGACATACATTACAGCAATAACAAAAGTGCTATGTCAGAGAAACCAATGCACTTTAAATTAAGAAATCGTATTTTCAATGGGAAATTAATGTAGTTCTGTTCGGTAGTAAATTCTTGGTTTTCAATGACAATCCAGTTTCTAATATCTTGGCTCAAAACAGAACCAGCAACATGATTATAGAATTTCTGAATTTTGTTCTTTTGCTCTCTTAGTTTAAGATATTTTCTTCATAAGTTCTCAGTAGATTTATCAGAATATCATAATACCTTATAAGACAACCAGAATCAATCCTACCAAAAAAAACTAAAAAAAAATTACATACCTACTTATAATATATTTCCAGTCGACTTACGTCGTAGGGGTAAGCTAACTTTTTCTAACTCCTTTTTGCACATTTTAACTAAGATTTACCCATCTATTCAAGAAAGACAGTTGCACCAAGCTGTCAACAACAGTCAAAAACAAGTATTGCGCATGGGATTATGCATTAAAGCTTAACAACACATTGACAGTGTAAAGAATGCCGTTTGATATTTATTTCTAACATAGCTGAAGCATTACTTGACAAAATATACGTTATTTTACCCTAGATTTACCTCATTTATATGTGCGTGTCTATTTCACAAAAACCTGAAGCATTATTTTCTATATTTTATGCTTACGGGTATCGTGGTTGTTTTCGCTGGTTGTCATTGATATAAGCAGTAATAGAGATCCGGATTCGGGAGAGAGCGAATGCTAAAAATTTTTTTCAAAGTGGAAGTTTTGATAACCAAAATCCGCCATTACCGCCATGTTTTTGACAACGGGATCCAGGCCCCTTTCCCCCTCCAGTTATTATATAACTCAATGATTCAAATGGCTTCGAATACAAAATAGAGATTGCATTTGAAACGAATGAAAACGATTGATCATGTGTTTTTTAATTAACATATCACAAAAATATCTTATACTTAAATGCTATTTGCAACTTGCTTTTGCCAATTATCATGAGCATATAAATATTATTTTGTATAATATTTTCAGCTCTAGATAATGAAAAATTTTATTAAAGGAGAATATCGACTAATATGCATTTATAAATAACATTGCTTTGTAAAATATTTTAGACTTCTTGGACCACAAGGTTACCCTGACATTGGAAGCTTCACTCTATATAGTTGTATGTGGAATGCCATGATTGTTCCGTTTCTCAATATGACAATCTACGGTTCCATATTTTATCAAGGAGAGACAAATGCTTTAGCCCGAGAGTTTAATGTGTTGCCATATAACTGTACATTTCCTGCTATGATAAATGATTGGAGAGCAAAATGGTACGCTTCTACACAACATAACACTGACCCAGAGTTTCCCTTTGGTTTTGTACAGGTAGGCGTCTTTAAATCTAAAGTAATCATTGTGTATTTCTGTGAATATTATAACTAATAAGTATTTTATACCTAAAAATGTATAGTTGTCTGCTGTTGGTCAAAGTATAGGAAGTAACCAATTTAACTTTGCTCCATTACGTTGGGACCAGACAGCAGAGAAGGGCTACGCTCCCAATGCACAACTGCAGAAAACTTTTATGGCTGTAGCAATGGACTTGGGAAATCCTTTATCGCCACACTTCAGCATTCATCCTACTGACAAAGAAAATATTGGCTATCGCTTGGGGTTATCAGGTCTTTCATTAGCTTACGGTAGAGAAAGGTACTACACTGGACCGCTCGTATCAGAAATCAAGAAGATTGCAACCGAACATGACACGCTTCTTGTAGTAAATTACGAATCAGTGAACATAAATATTGAAGTACGGAACAGCACAGGCTTTGAAGTAAGTATTAAGTAATTTTATTATCTCGCAAGGGTTACTTCCGGCTAAAATGCGCGCTTTGATTGGCTCAGAAACATTTTTGTCAGTCCATTATTTTCCGTAATGGATCACGCTCCAGAAGGCGTAATTTTACAGTTAAATGTAAACCATCTTGGTAATACAAACAGTAAAACGCAAAATAAACGAAACAAAAAACTGTTTACAAATATTATTTGAAGGAAACACCGCGCCCTATATTAAACCTTTTAATAACCTGGCTTTCTCAATCTTTAATTAGAAATATCGTACTTTTTCCTTTTTGTAGAAAACTGGCCCTAAGGGCTCCGTCAGTCAATAAGCCTCGGTTCGTAATTTCTCCTTAAAGACCTTGCGCTTGACTATGAAGGGTTTATTAATGTCTTGTGGTATAAGACAGGGTGGATCTAAGATTTTTCAAACATCAGTCATGGCACGCTTGAGACTTTCCCTTCCTAGGTGGTTCCGGGGGCACGATCGTTAAGGAATTTTTTATTTTTAAAGCCCCAGAAATGAAGTTTCCAGCATTTTAGAGCTATAATAACTGTTTATTATTCGCTTCTTTTTTGTGTTAAAACAAAACATGCTGTCAAACATCTATATTAGACAAATTATAAAGAAATTAATACTTGACTGTTTTGTTAAATGTCAAGGTTTATTGGCATGCTTAGGAATATAAACTTTACTTCACAAAAATGACTATTCAACATACTAAGTTGTCACAGGCCTTAGAGAGTCCCTTCAAATTTCTGTATTGGTTGAGTTTAAGCTCAATAGCTCAGTTTTCACACCATGGCAATTATTTATAACCCTTTACCAATCTCCATATGCAGAGGCGTAACTAGAGCGTTAATTGGGGTGGCGTGTATATTCATATATTCAGTTGAGCCCTTCTGATTTCTCTCGAAATTCAATTCACTTTGAAAATAAATTAGTAGGGTACAACGGAATGTATCAATATGCACCTCCCAAATTAACGTTCTAGTTACGCCTCTGTCCACATGCAATAACAGACTTGATTGACTTTTTGAGAAATTCATAATGCTTTTCCGCCAAAGATTAAACAATGATAGTAAGATTAAAAACTTCCATTTAAGAATAGTTTAGTGCAAGTCATCTTTCTTAGGCATTACATTTACTAATGAAACTACAAAATATAACTTGCATTATGACGTGCATCACACTATATGTGTTTGCAAGCTGTGCCACATACTACAAATACCATTCGCATCAAATTTTGACAGTACAAACAGAACGTAACTAACATGCTTTATTCATATTATGTCATAAAATGACAAGCACACGTTACACAAATTTCAAGATTAAAAGTGTTAAAATAGCTTCATGTATCATTCGCACTGGTTATAATTTAACTGATTCTTATATAATCAAACCTACATGTTTGTAAATAATGAAACCAACATGTAACGATACTCCCGGGTTCAAACCATTTACTTTATAATCAAACCTAGTTAAAATGCAAAAGTTATATAATTTAGTTTATAAGTTATGATGATCATCGAAAAAATTTTCTAGTGAACATGGAAAATATCTGACTGTTTTGACAAATGTCAAGGCTCGTGCATAAGGAAGCCTAGGAAACATTTTTATTTTACAGAAGATATTCATTCTGCATAGACAGCCATTAAGCCTAGTTCTAATTCATCGCAAAACGACGAAGCTAGAATCAGCGACGTTTATTGTCAATGGTCGGTGATGGAAAATGCACGAAACCTTCTCGTAAGTCGGCGATGATGTATTAGCCAACGCGCTTTGATATTCATATTAATGAGATATTTAGGGTTTTTTGAAAGTGTTTTTGTCAATAATCGCTAATTTTGTAAGAATTGCCTACCTTATTAAAATATAAGACTGTTTGAGCCATACAAACATGCATAGAAGTCATGCAAATAGCACACGACACAAACATTGCACATTTACATATCGATTGCATGAAAAACTTCGATTGCGATGAAAAACTTGAGCAAACTTTTTTTTCCTATGATGAGACCAATGATTGCTATAGGCTTACACGACACACTTCCTACACAAACAAAATGACACGTGTCAAATACTAATTTCTTCAAGCTCATTAAGATAATAGTTATGCATTGTGTAAAAATTTGCCAAAATTCTCCCGTAAAATAGGCAACTATTTTAAACCAAGCACATGAGGAATGTTACTTCGGGTGAGTAAATAGTTGTTGTTCAACAGCCGATAAATTTGGTTCTAGATAGAAATTTGAAAATGCCTACAAAGAATTTGAACAGTGTTGCTTTACAAGAATCTTTGGTTTTTATGTTCATTTACTGCAAAACGTAGCTCACCAAAGGCTTCAAACAAAGAGCAAGTTTCTCACTTTGTTTACATTTTTCCATTTTTGTATTTACAAAACGCAACTCCATAACTTCTTTATCGTGCGCACGTATTACTCCAAACGTAGCTTGCTCATACTTCATGAAACAAAGTTTTTATATTTAATTTTCCATAGGTCAATTGTCATGGTAACTGGACAGCGTCACCAATTGTGTACAATAGCAGCACATCTGTGTTTATACTGTCCCGTTGTAATCCTGACAAAGTCAGATATGCTTGGTCTGACTATCCCTGCGAGAGACTAAAGTGTGCTGTTTACAGTGGAGGACTACCTTCTCCACCATTTATTATGGATGGTCCTTTTTCTTAAAATAAAAACTTAAATGACTGTTATGACGTATTATCAACTTTCTTTAGTTAGCATTCATTTTTCATTCCTTACAGTTGGTCTTTTTCCTTGAAATAAAAACTGAAAAAATTAATTCTTGCCCTTCGAAAATTAATAAATATTTTTATGAAGACGACCATATTTTTCAGTTTTATATTTTTTAAACATAGTCCTGTTTCGACTTAAATACAAGCTATATTCAGTGCAAAAGCATACGCTATTTACAGTGTTGTATATATAACATAGAAGTATGTTACAAATGAGGCGATACTCAATGATTAGATTAATTACATTATAGATCGTCCAGGCTGGTATAGTCCTGAAGGACTGTTTTTGTTGTTGTTGACTGACGTTTTGACAACCTTAATTATCAATTAATTAGTAGATGAATTATTAAATAAAGCTTGGGAGTTAGTAACAGGACGTGTATTGTTAGGATGAAATCAAAGAAATAAAGTTTGAAATATTTTTAGAATGTTGGACTTGTCTGTTTAGGTCGGTTTATGTTCGTCTATGTTAAGTGCTTTATTGTGTTTCAAGGTGAATGGAGAGATAGCAGTGTCTAATTTGGTTTTCATTCAGGATTTTGTTGGTCCTTGTGAATGTGTGAGTTTTTTGGGAGGTTGTATTTTAATTGCTCTCCGTGGTTAAATGTCGTGTAGTTTTACCAATATAGCAGGAGTTATACTATCTGCAATTAAATTTGTAGACCATTTAAAATCTTGGCTTAGTAGGTATAACGTCTTTGAAACGAAAGAAGATCTTAATTTTGTGGGACGTGAAGACGAGTGAAGGCATTACAAAAACGTTAGTTGACATTTAAAAAGTTTCTTTTCTGTGATTTGTTATATAGACATTATGTTATTGCTGGTTAGGTGAGTAAGTAGACGCGTCTTTGTTGTTTGTGTTGCGTGCACGCTATGTTTATTACTGCGTGAGTTAATGATGCACTCAATGAAATGAAGTGGGGCCGAATTGCGTTTGAGGGAATTAGTAAGTTCTTTAAACTCATGCTGGAGGCCATTATCAGTACTGTTACAGTTTCAAATGCGGTGGACGAGTATTTTTTTGGCACCAGATTTAGATTGAAGAAAAATGAAACTTAGGAAGGAAGTTAGAAGACCAGTGTTTAAGTTTTCTTGTGAAAGTTATCAGTTAAGATAATCAGAGAAAAGTATAGCATCAGTTCTATTTTTGAATTTCCAGTAAGTGTCATCAACTTAGCGTCGTTATAAAAATTGCTTATTTCCGATATAATCATTAATCCAATTTTCTCGTAATATGCCTTGAAAGAATTATGGGACTAAATTTGAAATTAAATTTTAAAGAACGCAAACAAAAAAATTCTATAAATATGATCTAAGGTATTATTGATCATCATACTCTCATATTAATCACTCAAATGTTTCGAGTGTTCTTAAGGTTATAGCAAGCGAGTATTAATTCTGCTTTTGAGAGACCGTTATTTAATATCCTGAACTATTGTTAAGTAACAAAATGTGTTTGATATTGACTCAAAGAAAATACTGAAGGACTTATTACTCGAACATTCTAAGAGGCTCTTATTTAAGCAAATTTTGTTTAAAAACCTTTCTTTGCTGCTGTTGCAATTTTCTCGTTTTCACGTTAGCACAAAGCAGTTATGCGTCTGCCGATTCGCTTTTGGGACTGTATACTATGCTACTGTACGCACAGTCGACACACAATTCTCAATTTTACTTAATATAACTATTCCGTATCACTGATAATCTTAAACATTTCAAGCTTTTACATTCATAGCCAGCGAGAGAAGAACCTGACTTTTAAAGTGTCACAACTAATAAAGTATTAACATAAGTTCCTATTTCCGTTTTTCCATAGGCTCCTAGTATCAAATAATAATTACCTATTACGTATTTACATATGTTCCGATACATTCTCCCTTTGAGCCTTTAGGGTCAAACAAAACTTTTTTTGCCAACATGCATCCACAGCTGCCGCCTTTCTGAGTCTCCTACGATTTTCTACACTGCTACCCTTTTCTGAAACTTCTCCTCTGTCACTACTTTCTTGTTTCTCTATTTCTACACATCTGTCTTTACTTACCTTTCCATCCATCTCTAGTGAATGCACTTTCTAAAGAGGCCTGCTTATGTGCAGTGATCTTCTCTTCCTAACAACTTTGACTTCCGCTCTTCTGACTATATCATCTTTTCCCTTGATCAATCCCTCGATTCTCGCTATTTTTAAAATCCTCTTTTCAAATTTTCCTCAAGCACAAGAACTACATCACCTACTTTCGGACAAAAACTACCCTTCACTTTGCCAACCTTTTGACACTCCCTTAAACTTGTTTAGTATTCTTTCTTCCCCCTGGACCAAAAATTCTTTCTCAATCTCGCTAAATACCCAGACCTACGCTTGACCTCTCCTGCATCTTCGTCATTAGTAGTATGCCGAATTCTTTCATCTGCAATAGATGTTAATCTTCTTCCAAACATAAGATGTGCAGGAGTCAGTACATGTACATTCCTTCATCTTCATATCGATAAGTCAATGGTCTAGAGTTTATCGTACCTTGTACCTCAAGTAATGTTGTTAACAGTTCTTCTTTGTTCAATTTAGCGTTACCCAACACCTTCCTCAGACAACTTTTCACCAATTCTACCATTCTTTCAAAACATCCACCACACCAGGGTGTACTCGCCAAATTAAACTTCCATATCAACCGATTACCTTCCAAATATGATTTTACCTCCTTACTTTCGTAAATACCTTTCAACGCTTTCTCAGTTGCTTTAAAAGTTTTGGCGTTGTCTGAAACTATTAGTGGGGTGCTTTAGTTCTAGCAGTAAATCTTCGCATGCTATTCAAAAAACAACTTGCACTTAAACTATCAACCAAATCAAAATAAATTGCTCTTTAAACACAGCAGGGAAATAATGTGATGTATACTTTTATCATCTGTCCACCTTCTTTTGCAAACAATGGACCAGCAAAATATATTCTTACTTTAGAAAAGGGTGGTGAATACTGAACTCTAAAGCCTGGTAAATCTTCTTGTACTGGTGCTCTATAAGCCTGTCCTTGATGTCTTGTACAAATCCTGCAATGTAATCTCACCTTCTTCACGATCTGTCTACCTCGTGGTACCCAATATTTGCCTCGTAACTGAACTAAGGTCGCTATTACGCCACTATGATGAACATTCCTGTGGCAATCTTTAATAATTAATTCGGTTAAGTGATGATACTTAAGCAATAAAATTGTTTCCCTAGCTTCTAGCTCTAAATATGAGTTGCCAAGTTTTCCATTACATCTAACTATCCCATCACGCTCTACTTTGTTTAATTGTCAAACCAGTTCCTCATAGTCACTACGTTCTATTAACTCTTTCTGAGCAATTCTAATAATGAGCTCGTTCTGCTCATTCAAGTTCATATGTTTCATATGCTCACTAATTTCACATGTGAACTTTTCACAAGAAAATTATTTCATACATGAACTGTTTTCACATACGAAGTGATTTCGCCTATGAAGTTTTCAAATTTCACACAAGGATTTTACGTATCATTAAATATATATAAAATTTTGATGTGAAATTTTCGTCAGGGCTAACTGTACTAAAGTACATTTCTTCTGTATTTTGAACTTTAATTAGTATTAGATGTTCTAAAACTCAACTTGCCGAATATCTTCTGTTTTTACAGGTGTTTCGAGAAATATGCACGAGAAAAATATTCTGTTGTTATATAACAAGATGTTTTGCTTTTTATATGAGTTTGCTATAATTTCTTTTTATTTTATTTTATGTCGATATGAAAGATTTGATATAGTTTAAGAATGTTGCCTCAAAATGAGAAATATACCTATTAATCGTTTTTTTTATCAAAAAAAGTCTTAATATTTTTTAAGAAAAAAATTCTCAAGATAATTCGCAAGAATAGGCAAGCCGTTTGTAGTAATATTCAACCAAAAGAATTTCAACATTCAACGAAAAATTCAACTTCAACCTATTCAACCAAAACACTCAACCTTCACGGAAAATCATTCAACCTTAACCTTCATTAAAAGCTTTCTGAAGTACTTGCCAGCTGCTATGGCCGGTTTAACTGCAATAGAAATAACTCCATTCAATGATTACAGCAATTTTGAGACAGGGATTCGTCATTTCAACGTAGAAGAAGAATTGCATTTATTTTTGAATTAAGTTCTCGATGTGACAGATGCCAAAAGAAATGCTAACAGCAGTTACATTAATGAGGTGCAGACATGTTTCACAGTTGTTGATCGTACATTAAGCCTGTTACGATTGATACGTCTTAAGGTTGATGTGGATGACAGGCAAGAATGGCATGCGATTGAAAGCTGTTGTAAGTTGATATTAGAAAACTTAAATGACCTTATGTCTGAACTTGCTCGTACACCGGCAACGTTGACCACGCAAAGCTGTAATGTTGAGCGTACTGGGAAAGCTAGAAGACCTGCATTTCATGTACAGCAAGAAGTGTTAATTTAGGCTTCAGTAAAGAAAAAATGTATGGCGTTTCGAGGTGGACCATTTATAGAATAATACAACAATACAACTTGCATCATTTCAGTTGTTTTAGCAATTTATCTAATGCAGAAATCGATGAGATGCTGAGAGATTCCGCTAGTCCTCATTGAAGAACAGCTTGGGAAGTGTTGATGATGGGGTACCTTCAATCTTGTGGTGTGCATGTGCAAAGAAGAAGCGTTCGTGATAGTATGGCAAGAATTGACCCGGCTAATGTTGCATTAAAGTGGTGGGCTGCAGTTTATTAAAGGAGGCATCATGTTTCATGGGCAAACTCACTGGGGCATCTTGATGGGCATCATTCTTTAATACGATGGGGGTTGGTTATACATGAATGCATTGATAGCTACTCAAGAAGAACAATTTATCTTCATTGCAGTTCAAACAATCTTGCCAGCATCGCATAAACATTATTTTTTAATGCCAATGAAAGAGATGGTAGACCGCATTCGAAAAGACCACGGGGTAGAAAAGTGTTTGACGCAATGGTGGAAGCCCGAGGCGAAGGCTCATCCAGCTTTATTCCAGGACAATCAAACCATAATCAAATAATCGAAAGGCTTTGAAAAGATGTATTCCGTGCAATTGGTTACTACTTCTATTACGTTTTTTATGCAGTGGAAGTACTGAATTCCTTAATACTACTAATCCGCTCCATACGTTTGTTTTACATTTTGTTTTTATATCAATCTAGCTCTTCCAGAGTTTACGGAAGCTTTCAATCATCACAAAATTCGCACAATGAACAGTTGGTCTCCATACAAAGTCTGAATAA